CCCAGAATTCCCCAGCCAGCAAATGCTGGCTGGGGAATTCTGGGAGTTGAAGTCCAGACATCTTCAAGTTGCCAAGGTTGAGAAACACTGGCCTAGGAGTTGTCAAGAAATGGGCTCATTTCTGAAGCAGGCGAAGCATTTTCCCCTCTGATGCACCTTTTGCCTCTGAAGAGGCTGATAGGCATCTACAGTTCTGTTTACTTCTTTTCAAAACAATACTTATCGAAGTTGCTTTGATCTCTCCCGATTTATTATGACTTGATTGATTTGAGCTACTATAGTTCAGTGACGGCTAACCTTTTTGTCGTTCCGTGCCGAAAGCGTACATGCATGTGTGTTACAGCGCGCACGAGCACCCGCACCCATAATGCAAGGGGCACACGACCCCCCCCATGTATCCAATGGACTGTGCCCCCCCATGCGCCCATTTCCCCACACATGCGCCATGCTCCCCCATTCCCCGTTTTTGGCTTCCAGGTTGGTGCAGGAGACCTTCCAGGTGCAAAACCCACCTGCACCAACCTGGAAGCCAAAACAGGGCGCGGAGGTACTGCAGAAGGCCCAAAATACGGGTGCCCCCCGAGCATGTGCCCCCTCTTGCACATGCGTGCATGCGTCTCCTGCATGCAGCTGTCCCCTGTGCATCCATGGCGGAGACCTGAAGAGCAGCTGGTTGGCGGGAAGCCCGCGCGCATGCACAGTGGAGCTGGGCTGGGACGACGGCTGGTGTGTCCGCAGAGAGGGCTCCGCGTGCCACCTGTGACACGCGTGCCATAGGTTCGCCATCATGGCTTTAGTTCATCAGTCGGGCCTGATCAATTTGTTTCAGACAGCTATCACTCAAAGTTTAATTTCTCCCTGGTGGTTTTCATACCTAGCAACTAGGCTTAAAAATACATTTTTAAAGCTCTCTTGAACTGATCTTCATCTGGAGAAAGAAATTGCTAGATGAGGCTCCAGATTGAATTATTTGCTTTAACCGTGCTCTGTTTCTCTACACAGAATTTGATGAATCTTGATTTAAGAAAATATTTTTATTATATTTCTTACATAGTGCTGTTAACATACAGGATAAAAAGCATACATTAAAAGCTGGACAAATTTGCAGGACAAAAATTATCCATATGATGATACTGTTCCCAAAACTCAGTTAATTCCACATGCAATTCCTCATCAGACCGAGTCCATTTTCAATACCAAATATTGCATGCGTGACACAAAATGTTAGGTCTACGGCTGAAAGCATATTTATCTAACCTACAGAGGATAAACGGGTAGTCCAAAGAGTGCTGAAATTTCTAGCAGAGATTTAAAATTACAGTACCATTTATGATGACTAAATAAAGGTGTTTTGGATTTTGGAAAAAAAAAATAGAACAGCGCTTTTCATCACATATAGTTTACATATAATGTTCAGAAGAAAAGTCCTCCAGATTTTCAGGAAGAGATATTTGACTTAACTTGAAGTAACAATATGGCAATAAATTGAATCTATACTTGAAGCTCATAACGTCAGCAATAATACAGAGATCAGCTTGAAGACCTTGTGGCTGAAATAAACTTTGCCATTTGTTTAAGAAATAAAATTCTCTCCCCTCCCTCCCTCCCTCCCTCCCTCTCTCTCTCTCTCTCTCTGTCTCTGTCTCTGTCTCTGTGTTTGTCTCTCTCTGGGTGTCTCTCTCTTTATGTGTCTGTCTGTCTGTCTGTCTCTGTCTCTATGTATATATAACGCGCGCGCGCGCGCACACACACACACACACACACACACACCATGCTTGGACAGCAAGCATACTGTATCTCAAATATTCAATTTCTCTCCTGAAATAACAGTGGGAACTGCTATTCTGACTATCACTTTCCCTGAACTCTTTGATGGAAGATACATCGCTGAAATGGATGAATGAAAATGAAGAATTATCTGCAGTTTTAATGTTGCCAGCAAATATGTTTGAATAGCGCCGACCTTTCCTGTGAGCAGTGAAAGGACCAGCTCTTGCCACAGAACAGATCATCAAGCATCATGGAATAGAGCAACTTTGATTTGGATCATCAAGATAATGGAATGTCCTCAGCAATTTGAAGTAGACCACGCCAGGAAACAGACACTGCATGAATGGGATTCAGATAATTTTGAGTTTCTTCCTCACCCTTCCCTGTCTATCAGGGCTAAGATGATGTTTATACAATCAAATCCCTTCTTCAAAGCCACTTCTATATTTCTTTACAGAGGTAAAGAGGTCTTCATGACTTAGTTCCTTTCTCACCAGGTTGAAAAAATTCAATATTCTGCTGTTCACTCCATACTTAGAATTCCCCGTAGAATGCTGGATACCTTGCAGTAATTCAGCGAAGTATTATTAGACTCCAAATTTAATGATTTAATTAGATTAAATTTCATTTAGTTAAAAACAAATGGGCTAAACGTGTACCTCTTCTATTTGAGAGCTTCCTGCTCCTTCTGTTATCAAGCCAGCTTTTCCTCCCAGTGGAACCAAAAATAATATAAAAGATGCGCAGGAAGGGAAAAGAAAACCTTGTTGAACAACCTGAGCGAATGAGGGAAAATGTCATTACTGTAATGACATCTTTCCACATAAATGCATATATGCAGAGTTAGCAGTGGTCCCCTTGTGAATGGAGCTGTTGAAAACGTTCTCTTTCTGATCACAGAAATTTGGGAAGGAAAAGGAAAAATGTATCTATAGGTTGGGGAAATCCTTATTAATATTGGCAACAGAAAACACTTGGGATCTCCCAAGTTAAACTGAAAATGTAACATTGACTTAGTAATATTCAGATCTGACTCTTTTTCAGCATTATTGTTCATAAACAATTAAGTTCAGTTTGCATTGGAGCCACATTGAAAAGTGACGTACCCTTCACTATTCTTTGGAAATCATTCTATTCCAACATGTATCACAAAGGATATATGTGCTCAAATTTATTTCAAAACATAACATTAAACCAGTGGTTCCCAACCTTCTGGGCAGCAGGGACTGCTGAAGAAAGGTTTTTCCATAGGAGGTTGGACTAGAAGACCTCCAAGGTCCCTTCCAACTCTGTTACTCTATTCTACTCTAAAATGAATTTAACATGTATGACCTGATGATATGATGGTAATGGCACTTGTATCGCGCGTTCACATTTCTGAATCCATAGCAAAGGTAAATGAATCCCACCACTGCTCTCATCCCATCTCTACTAGGTAGAGTCAGGGCGACGGGATGGAGCTGAGCATTTGCTGGCCGGATGCCCTTTCTGATGCCACACGGAGTTCACAGCAAATATTGTTTTTCTTTGGGCCCAGCAAGAGAAAAACATCTGCCACTACCTAGGATTGAATTCTCAACCTTCCGAACGGGAGGCAATTAGCTTCACAGCTAGGATACCACAACACTCAGACTTTTTTCCACTGTGACATGTAGAAATGTCTTTTCTCTCTAGAAGCCAAATGCAGGCGGTCCTCAGCTTGTAACTATTCATTTGCCTGTGACTGTTCAAAGTTACAACTCTGCTGACAAAAGTGACTCACGACTGGTCCTTGCACTTACGACCGTCACTGCGTCCCTGTGGTCACGTGACTGTGATTCAGACACTTGGTCACTGGCGTGTCTTTATGACAATTGGAGCATCCCAGGGTCA